ATCCTCAGCAATTTTTTGCTACATAAAAAAGCGACCTTATTGCCACGATATGACACCACAATGTCAAAGTGTTACTATGTACACGAATGCAAGTAAAACTTAGGTAAACACGATGATGTGACATCAAAGTAAGTACCTACTTCAATTGGCAAGCTATTGAGGTCAAGAGAGACACACCTCATGACGACATTTTGTTTATTTGCTTAAATACATACCTTTCCAGGGCAAACTGTAATGAGATCGGCAGAAGGTCCATTTGGAAAGGTTTGACTGGTGTGATAATAAAGTAGTAGTTCATGTGATAGTTAAAAGATTAAACATTGCCTCGTTGGCCAAGTGGTCGCAAGTGCGACTGCCGGGCAAGAGGTATCGGTTTCGATTCCCGGGTCGGGCAAAGTATTACAGGGTTTTAAAAAAATTCTCAGTAGTAGCATGGAGTCTGGAATTGTGCCCGGTATATGGCAAAAGGCTGACCCCTATTACATGGGACTCATAACATAAATTGTGAAAAGTGGGTTTTACATTATACAGTGGAATAATGTGCACCTCTGCCTATCCCTTCAGGGATAAAAGGCGTGATGTTATGTATGTATGTTCATGAGTTTCTTGCTTATTGAATCTCATACGACTCTTTCTATTTGAAAAAAATGAATATAACACAATGCATTTAGCAACAACAGATAGACCATGATGTTACTATGAGTATATTTCTACTTAGAACCATGTTTTCATGTCCAATTATTTAAGAATTAAATATGGAATGTATCATGAATGCCCTTTAAAAGAATTCCAGAAATTGATAACTACTGCTATTGAGAATAATAATTATACAAAAGCGTGTTGAAATAAACAATAGTTTGTAGGATTCAGTAGGTAATAAAATAGTTTTTTTTTTTTAAGGGGGGAAAATCATCGAATGGCTGCTCCCGCCTGGGTGAGGCGGAAGGGAGTGTCAGACTCTTACTGACTAAAAACCAGCCCGTTCCTTCTCCTGCACGTCGAGCCGGAGCCCCGGTTACCCGGTTAGGTACTCCGCGACAATAAAATAGTTTACCATTTAAAGTTTGATTCGATTAAGGAGTTAGGCATTTATTGCAGTTGCAGTTGTTTTATATTGATTATTTATTACATGATTATTTATTATATACCTACTAACTATAATGCCTGTATGCAATAGACCTTTTGCATTGTACCCTTACAGTGGTTCAACCTACTAAGGCGTATCATCAGTAAATATTTATTTTTTCCTATAAAACTTGACTTATTGCGTTTATCTTTTCAGTATTTAGGTTAGCTGATCAGTCATTTCAGTATATCAGTGTTTGTTATTTGTTCAGCTTTGCTTTTCGTGTTTATTTACATTTTGACAATTTTTGGGCCAGATCACAACTTTCGTAGACTGATTGGGAATTTCTCCGGTATCTTTTTTATTAGTGATTGCAAGTTTATCGCATTTATTTTGCCCAGTTTTGAGTAGAGATATGAAATATATAACTTTTTCGGCAATAGGAGTACCTACTGATTATTTACATACATACATACATAACATCACGCCTTTTATCCCCGAAGGGGTAGGCAGAGGTAATACCCACTTTTCACTATTTATGTTATGAGTCCCATGTAATAGGGGGTGAGTCTATTGCCATATACCGGACACATTTCCAGACTCCGTGCTACCACTGAAATTTCTTTTAAAAAACCCAGTAATACCTACTTTGTCCGACCCGGGAATCGAACCCGAGACCCCTTGCCCGGTAGTCGTACTTGCGACCCCTCGGCCATCGAGGCAGTCACCTGATTATTTTCACGGAAAATATTTACCGTTACCTACTTATTTTTTTCTTTTGTTAATTTGGACAATGCAAACTTCTTGCAGGAAACCAGATAGTTAGATACAAGACATTTCCAATCGATTAATATTATTAATGTTCTTATTTACTGCCTCCAAGACGGATTAAATTTATACAAATTCAATTTCATCTTTACCGACTGTGACCATTTCTATAAACGAAATAAGACAATGTGGCTTCCTATACTTCAATTTAGTACTAAATGTAATTCCTTTTCATTTTATCACTTTAGAAGTAGTAAAATATATTCGATAGAGACACAGACAGACAGATGGGGTTTACGATCATTTTATTGCCAGTAGACGTATTGTTATGGTAAAACCGTTATAAGGAACTAAGAACGTCGTGTTTTGCGTCGTCTTACCTATGTTAAGTGATAATCTTCTAGTTTAACTCGTCGAGTACCATATTTATAGACACAATTAAAGAACAACAGGTTGCGGTCACCCGTGACCGCTCGGTGTTTGACAGTTTAATTCAGGCAAAATATCATAAAGATAAAGATACTTTTATTTTGCAAATATGGGTAACAATTACAGGTGACATAAAAATACAGGTTCAGCCATATTTTACCATTTAAGCATGCAAATGATATACATAGTAAAATGCATTGGATAATATGTTACAATTGAAGACAAACAACCCAATAAAAAGAAAAAACATAAACAAAAAAAGAAGACCATAAATTAGGAACACAGTTTTCAATTCAAGCACTTACAAAAAAAAATCATTCTCATTTAGATACTCAGTCATACTAGGTACCTATAAGATTTTTCCCAAAATAGTGAATAATTTGGACGTTTATAGTTAGTATTGTTCTTGGTTATTTTACCCCTAATTACAACGAAAATCTACAAAAACCCATCTCCTTTTTGTAATCAATTAAAATCTGACAAAAAGTTTATCTACCTATGAGGTTTTTTTTAAGGGGGGAAAATCATCGAATAACTGCTCCCGCCTGGGTGAGGCGGGAGGGAGTGTCAGACTCTTACTGACTAAAAACCACCCCGTTCCTTCTCCTGCACGTCGAGCCGGAGCCCCGGTTACCCGTTAGGTTCTCCGCGACAACCTATGAGGTTTAATCATGTTATATGTCCGTTCTGGCAAATCTAGTTCGACAATAACATGGTTTAAGCCTAGAAAAAGTGCTCATAGCGACTGTAACCTAATCAAATACCTCCTACTTAAATTTTAATCATGCGGCGTCTGAGCTCTGTTTTAAGACCGTTGCAATTTAAATAGATATAGGTAATTAGATACTCAAATACTAGGTCATAGTCTGAAGTCTAGACTGGATTTTGTTTGCACTATCATTTGCAGTTGCCTAACTATTGATTCAATCTCAAAACGTGTGATGAGAACAAACATACTTTTATGGATTTTGAAGTGCAATTGGTTTATTGGATTTTTATTTATTTTACTATGGTCATTGTGTTAAAAATTCGACTAGGTTAAAGGTATATTGTAAAATATATTGTATATATATTGTAACTAGCTAGTTCCGCGCGGTTTCACACCCTCTGCTCACCTCCTATTGGTCGTAGAGAGATGTTTTATAGCCTACAGGAAACCTCGATAAATAGCGCATTTATCGAGGATTCCTAGGATCTAACATAAAAAGCATTATTCAAATCAGACTTGTAGTTACGGAGATTAGCGCGTTCAAACAAACAAACAAAAAAACAAACTCTTCCGCTTTATATAATAAGTACAAGATATAAGATTGGCTTTCTGATGTTATTTTGCCACTATTTGTTTGCCATGTATATAGTTGTTGGTTTTTCTATAAATAAATAAATTAAAAAAAAGTTTTGTCTCTAAGTATAAAACTAAAATAAGAATTAAGTTAAGTATAACTTGGTGGACCAGTCGCACTATTAGTGTCCACGTCTCGGCTCCGTATGTCATTACTGGTAGGACGCACTCGTTGAAGACTTTTGTCTTCAGGCTTTGCGGTAGAATTGATGAAGACCCGATAAAGTTTCCTATACGCCATCTTGTCAAGCTATAACCTTCTTAAAGCCGATCTTTAAACTGTTTTTACCAAGCTGTGGTGGGTCTAAGTAGACAATACTCCTGAACAGACTCGAGAGGAGATACATTGATTTAGGCAACGACTTTATTAATTTATAGGACTGGAAAAGCCATAATAATCCACGTCTAACAGGCGCGTTAAAGTTTGCAGTTTAATATTTCATCCGACTAAACGCTAGTTACAATATTACAATCATCGATGATTCACTACGAAACAACGCAAGGCGTGTACTCTAAGTACTTATCTATTTATTTAACTTGAAGGATCAACAAAAAGTCCCATTATATCTTTTTAACTCATCATCTATGGGGTCAATTACCTTGTAAGAAAGTCTGTTTCGAATTATGTGAGTCCCTTACTCCTCGTCCCTCCCATAATTTTAATGTGTTTTGTTACATTTAAAGGGATTTATTGTTATACAATTTTTGGACTTAGTGTGGTCTTTATATGGTGTATCGTGGTAAGTAGATGACTTGCAAAAAGATTTTGTATAATAAATACTTAAATATTAAAAAGTGTCTCAAAAAAGCAATTTTATTGTTATTTGTAACCTATTTTCTGTTACATCAAATTAGGTACTATTTTGTAAACCGTAAACAACTGTAAATTCTTAAGATAAGGTTCCTTTTTGCAACACCTGTAGGTAGGTATCTATTAACAACTGCTGCCCAAGGCCAGTTCTGTTATGATATCAACCTAGTCTTTATTTTCTTCGTTATTATTTAGAAGTCAATAAACGAAGCCGTTCTATTGAATATGTATCGTTCACAGATGCTTTAACAACCAATTATGACGGACGAACAAACAAACCTACACTTACACATCTTTCATTTCCAATATTTTAAGTACTTACTAAGCTAAACTTAACCAACTTAAGTGTAAACACTCCAAAATAACCACCAAACCCTATTAACAACAAATAAGGTCTAAATTCCTTTAACAATGATCGTATTGTTACAAAAAATATTTTTGTTCAAGGCACGGGTGAAACAAAAAATGTGGGGCCTTAGATGACGTAACGGGTCAATGACCTCAGACACCATGGATGGATTGGAAGCCATGAATCGAATCTTTGATCATTCTAAAGATATATTTTGATCAACACAAGTAGTAGTTCATAGACCTAAGGATAAAAAAATGGTTACGTAACTATGGTAAAAGAAAGATGTAATGGATGGTGGAGATGTGGAAAGTTTTTTTTAGATATTACGCAGTATGAGCTCATCAGTGTCACGATTTTTTGCGATGAAGAAAGAACAGACTACGGACAACATCCTTTTATAGAAAACTGGTCGACAACACGATAGTATTGATGATGAAGATGATGACGATGATGATGAAGGGTGTGGAATGGTGTTTATAGAAAACAATGTATTGCTGTAAACTTGGGACTCCAAGATCTCCATAACTAACTATTACCAAAGCTAGATTCTGTGCTCCAAAACATTTACAATTTGATTATCGATGTCAAAGCACTGAAGCGGAAACAAAAAGCATTGTAATTGTGATAGCTTTCAATCGTCCCTTGAAATATCCCGGAAGACGTCAGGCGTGACAAGGTTTTTTAAAATTTTAATTTGAACATTCAAATCTTGATGCGGCTATTTTTAACTTAGACCCTACAGCTGGTGAGGATGTTATTTTTTGCTGGAAATGCGATAAGAGTAAGCACAAAGAAGATCAAATGCATTTTTGCACACATTCGAAAATAAAATGACTCTTGAAATGATGCAAAATAATTAGAAATCAGTTCATTAATAACTGGTAGATATTAACTTCCTTATGGTTGCGGTTTAGTTCTCGTTTTATAAATGCTCCAGCCTATTCTAACTAGTCCTTTCCAAGAATATAGCTATCAACCACAAATACATTGATTGGACTTTTAGCTCCTATATTTTATGGCATAATTAAAACGATGACCCTATAAGGTGATATTAAAATCTTAATCGCCAGTGGGATTATAAAATGCACACCCACCATAACTAAGAAGCCTGTTACTAATCTGAGTCATAATATTATTATCACGCCGTAGTTCATCTACTTTTTTGTTCTTATTCTCGTGTTACATATTGCCACTTTTTTCTCCATATGTAATGGCTATTTCTTCTAAATGATTAATTACTTTTGTTGCTTCTTTAAATATCATCTGATGAACAGTGAATCATTCTTGGAGTCGTTAATTATGATCTGTGTTATGCAGATTCATTTAAATGATGGCTTCTGGTTTTTGTTCATTCCCTACTGATGGGTTTTGTTTGAGTTTCAATGCTTAGATGTTCAGTTTTTTTTCTTCAAAGTTCAGTGTCTACCAAATCAATTCTTTTAAGCCACTTTTTGACTAAAGAATTTCAAGTTTAAAGGAGCATTAGTATGCTTTGTCCCGATCAGAATTGAAACCTCGTGCTCAGCTTGCGACTAGGCTACAAGTCTCTTTATTTCATCAAAATTGTTTCATCCACATTAGTATCTGTTCTAGTCTTATTCCATTTTTCCTGCTTTTAGTCCTAAAGTAATTCTATTGGTATCTTTTATTTCATTAATGAATGACTAATATGAAATTATGTTAATTAAATAAGAACATAACTCGGTAGGTTTTTCAAATAAGCATGTAGGCAGACTTTAAGGTCACGAGTTTCCTGGTGGGTTTTAAGAATAAAACCTTTTCTAATTTATTTTTAATTCTGTTTTCCTTCGTCATAGCAAACCGTAAATATTCATAGTTTGATAAGTTTTTTAATAGTGCCACAATTATATCTCATTGGTTTAGCTGCATCAAAGTATATAAGGTCGTTAACCCTATTGGATCTTGTAACTCTTATAAGCACAGTATCCGGTATTGTGTTTAAGGATCAAATTATTATTGATATTCTTTTACAAATGTTGTTTTAAACGGATATATTTTTTTCCTGAAGTAGTTGAAATTACTTAGGAATTAATGCCGATGCGTTTGTCATCCATAATAAGAAGTACTGAATAATTATACCGAGTAAAGAATGCAGTTTAAAGGTCAAAGTAACGCCGTTGAATGTTACCTGCAATTTTGGTCAGCTTACATTGTAAAGTGCACTGAGAAAGTGGATCTACAACATTTTGTTCTGAATAATTACTTTCACTGAACTTTATGAAAAACCCAACGAACATATTTATGCCAGACATGTTAAATATAGAAGAGAAAATACTCACGAATGCACATATTCTGTAGTTGGTTCATGTAGTCTGGCACAAAGCCAGACATCACATTAAAACAAAACCGAAGCCAACTGAATAACTAAGGAATTTATTAATATTGCCACAAGCGTAGTGCAGGAGCTTAAGTAATCAATAGCTATCAACGTTTACACAATTTATTTGTACTATTCACAGCACACAAACCTGGCCCATATTTCACAATTATGATTCCCAGTACAAACATGGCCCCATAAAATAAAAATGCAGTGATCAATTCCCCTGCTGGTCCATTATGCAAGACGATGCTTGAATACGAAATGAGCTAGCCAAGATTGACACGGGATTATAAATAATGCGGTGAAAAATTGCCTCAATTGTTACATTGTAAGTTTATGGTTGTTTGTTGAAACAATAGTGTGTACTGACCTGTCATTTGCAGCTGTCTTCTGGAGGCAGGGGTGCGGGGCGTGCGCGGGGTGCGAGCAGCCCGGGGAGTTCTGGGTGTGCGAGGAGTGCGTGGCGAGCTCGTACCACTTCCAGCACTTCGCCTGGAGGGAGACCCCAGTACCCTCAGGTCTGTGTTCTCCACACATGCTAGCGCTTCTGTCGCCATCCTCACAGGACTTTCCGCATTCTCTTTATCCTCTTCACAAAACTTAACAGGAGAGTCCATCTTTGCAGATTTGTACACGCATTCTGTCTCAATGTCGAAATTGAAGCGCCTGATGAAGCGTTTCCTCTCCCTGGCGTACTGCTCCGCCATTAATCGCTTCGTCTCGTCCCGGTCAGGCGCTCCAAATAAACACTTGCAGCTCCCGCGCCTCCTCCTCGGAGTGTTGGAAGCTCTCAGCGCCATGCCTGCTGAGATCTCGAACCTCCTCTGCTTGGGTGTACGTCCTCCGGCCGCCATATCGTATCGTAGCGCGCGTCAGGTGAGCACTGACTGGTTACCGAGAAACATCTGACTAATCTCCCGAGAGAAAACAGCTGTCCGCAGGTAGCGTACGAGAGGGAGGATATGTTTGCCTGTGAGTTAGAGCGGGCGAGGATCGCACCTGGCGGCCGCGAGACGCGCCAATTCTAACCTATAAGCACGGTGTGGCCGGCGTGTGCGCGCGCGCTCTTCCCGTATACGACTGACGCTCGATGTTTTCCCGCGCATCGCCGCGTGCGCCGATTTTGGCAGTCACTTGGCGCGCAAACCTTAACAATGGAAGCAAGGACGCTTTTTATACAGGGATACAGGTGGACTCTTGAAGGGGAAGAAAAGAATAGCCTACAGTATAAATAATAGCACGGAACATGAAATATTGTCGTTGTTGGCCATAGTAAGGTGCGAAGTTTCCCGCGCAAATTATTTATAGATTCGTGTGACAACGTTATCTCAGTCTCGTTAAGATAAAGTGGACAATACTGGTCAATTCAATTTTTTGATAATTACTCTGTTATAATGAGTTACTTCAAAGCAATTCAAAGGTCTTAGTACTAATTCGAGGTCGGTTTAAAAAGTATTGCTTGCTATTTTTCTGATTTTGTTTGCGACGAAGGATTGCACAGGTAAAAAATTCGATTCTTGTTTGTTACCTAACTATACGAATATTCTGCATTTTATGTTTAACATCTTGTGTCCAATGGCAGGCACGTTAATTGGATACTTTATTGGTTATTTGATAAAATGTCAATAAAACGAATCGGTTTTGGTATATTTTGCAATGTAAGGTGGAGAGAACAGCTTGTTTCTGACTTAGCAACGCACGTGGGTTTGGTCATTAATAATTTTATTTTATTCTTAGTGATATTTAGTACAAGTAACGTATAAAAGTATTTGACTGGCGATAAGTGAATGATGAATGTTAGATTGTATTTGTCCAACTTTGTCTACCGATTTCGAGGAAGACCGGGAGTTGTTATAATCGTTTAAGCTCTTAATAGTTCACTCCTAAATACGTACGTCTCGTAATTTCCTATCGTTTTCTAAGTCTACTACAAACATGTGAAAATTAGCATTTTTTATTTCCGCATTCTGCAGCAGATGGGATTAATTCAAGGTTAATTAGTGATTAGAATAGAAATTGCTTTAATATCTATTTTTGTACTGAATTCTGTAACTTAGATATCATTTACGACTAATGATTTTAGATATTTATTAAGATAAAATAGAAAAAAAAATTGAGAAGTTGTCGAGCACCTATGATTTTTTTTCAAACATAACATAACATCACGCCTTTTAGGGCTAGGTAGAGGTGCACATTATGCCACTGTACCTCTACAATGTAACACCCACTTTTCACTATGTATATTATGAGTCCCATGTAATAGGGGGTGAGCCTATGGCCATATAGGGCACAGTTCCAGACTCCGTGCTACTACTGAGATTAAAAAAAAACAGTAATACTTTGCCCGACCCGGGAATCGAACCTGAGACCCCTTGCCCGGCAGTCGCACTTGCCACCACTAAGACAACAAGGCAGTCATTATTTTATTTACTTAGTATTTTTTGGAAATCGACCGACTTTCAAACTGTTTGGGAAAAGGCTGGCATCCTAGACGGTACCTAATTGAATATAGGAACATTTTTGATCACAAAAGACAAAATAAAACATATCAAAAACTCTCAGACACTTTAAAATCTTTAGCGAAAGGTTCCAGCCGACTGGTTGAAGCTAGCAATTTCATTTATCACCCATTGTGTCTTGTAGAATATGTTGTAAACATAAAAACTGAAAACAGCTTATGTCTGGTAATACAAGTAGTAATTTTGATTAGTTATGGGTGTATAGTAAAGTAGCAGTAAAAATATAATAAACTACGAAGTTTGAAGTGCGTACTATGGATAGATACAACAAGAGGCTACGTTTCAAGGAGTTCAAGATTTTTAGGAAATTAATATAAGATTTCAAGTACGCAGTACCTACCTAGGCTCAAAAAAAATTAACCCTTATGTACCTAACGTAAGGTTTTTTTTTGTGTCATGGGCGCGTTTACCTATTATTTTTTGATTAAAGTACGCGTAGAAATTACAAAGTAACCTAGACCCGGAATAAATATAGATTGGTATGTACTAGGTAGATCCAAAAAAATATTTTGAAGCCTGGTACTATATCCTACAACTATATATTGTCTCCAATAAAATTAGACACACATCCTTGCCCAATAATTGTTAACAAACATTTGTGTATTTTAACAAAGATAAGTTTACCAGTCAAAATATTTATAACCTCTAATTATTTGTACTTTGACATTACCTATTTCAAAATGGCCGCTCACTTCTCCCGCCAAATTGACATTGAAGGTTAAAAAAGTTTTCCCGCCTACCTTATCTAACGTAAGTTCGTTATTATGACCTCAGATTATGACTCAACGTCCAAACAAAGCTTTGGTCAATAACCAGTGCCTTAATGATACTTTTTTTTCAAATAAGGATCTAAAAAATACGTGGATATGTTTTGTAAATACTATTTTAATCTGTGCTAATCATAGCAAAAAATGACATGCTTAAAATTTGAGTTTCAAACATAAGGGATGCCAGTTCGAAACTTTTTTAAAGGAACCATAACACTAGAGGAAAATGGTAAAGGAAAATATCGTAAGGAAATTATTTAATACATAAATTACTAGTAACATATTAGTCAGGACTTCAAAATAGAAATTGCCAATAGAAATGATGCCAGGGTATGAAAATTAAAAAACTATTTAGTCCGTAAGTTAGGTAAAGAAAAAAAATTAGACACGATTTTTTTATTTTGTTGTATAATAAAACAATACTTAGATAAAACGAACCTAAGTTTAGGAATGGAGGCTTTTTTTTTTTTTTTTTTTAAGGGGGGAAAATCATCGAATGACTGCCCCCGCCTGGGTGAGGCGGGAGGGAGTGTCAGACTCTTACTGACTAAAAACCACCCCGTTCCTTCTCCTGCACGTCGAGCCGGAGCCCCGGTTACCCGTTAGGTTCTCCGCGACTTCGAATCGGCATCGGCCCTATTGGGCCCCATCTGTGGTGGTCTGATGGCTCTTTGAGGCGCGCGCGGAACGCGACGCGCCGCACGCTCGGGTCTGTTTCTGGTCGGACGGGGAGCCACCCATGCTCGCCGTCCGCAGGCCCGCGCTTACGGTGGCCGGAGATCGTCCCGCGATCCCCGACGCCCGGTGTGTCCTTCGCGATGGCTGGGTTGCGAGGAGGCAGCGCTTCGCTGCCTCACGCGTCCCGCCTCCTCCTTAGCTAGCATGACTGCTTCGCAAAAGGAGGAGACGGCATCCCAATCCCCCTCGCTCCGCATCATGGCCTGCACTAGGCCCGGACGCGAGAGGTCGCCATCGCCGATCACTTCCCTGAGGACACGGCGGTGCTCAGCCCACGAAGGGCATTCTCCCACCGTGTGTTCCACCGTGTCCTCAGGGCGGTCCTCGCAGTGATGACACCCGGGCGTTTCCTCCCGCCCCAAGGAATGGAGGCTAAAACGTCATTTCTACGTATAAAATGTACATAGAAGTGACGTCACGTCACATTTCAAATCAATATATCGTCGAAAGTATTTGTTTCCGTAAGAAAATAAAAAATACGTGTATAATGATTTAAAATAAATAATCTAACAGACAGACATTAAAATAAAAATTAGGCATCTACCCTATTTCCTTGAACGTCCGTTGCCCTCCGGTATTTTGAAGTTTAACAGGTGATACTGATTCATCTACCGAAAACAACTTGAAATTACTGAAGGAACCTGAAATGTGGATACACCAATGAAGTTATCATTACCTTGCGTGCGATCAGACTGGAACTGACCCTGACATCAATTACAGACTTCAGTAATTGATGGTCAAGATCAGAGAACGTTGCACTAAACCGTCAAACTGATTGGGAGTGAGCATATTATGTCATAATATGTGCCGTTGAGACATTAACCACTACCCCATTTGACCCTGACTGTCTCATTGGTCGAGCGGTTGCAAGTGCGACTGCCGGGCAAGGGGTCTCGGGTTCGATTCCCGGGTCGGGCAAGGTGTTAATGGATTTTTAAAAAACATCTCCGTAGTAGCACGAAGTCTGTCGGTCGGTATATGGCAATAGACTCAGCCCCTATTACAGTGGACTCATAACATAAATAGTGAAAAGTGGGTGTTACGTCATGTCACGTGGGAATTATATAGCAAACTTCCTTATGAAGCTATAGGCCTTACAGTCCTTCTGTGGACCGTCAATGGCTGTTACTTGAGAACCGAGTTTATATTCATATAAAATTAAGAAAAAACATCACGCTTTTAACCCAATATAGTGTTAAGCACCTAATATTAAAGGACATTATTTATAATGATGATGTCACGAACGACCTTCACGTAATTTGGCTACAAATTGCCTGATTATGTTGATCTGAGAAAATATTGTACCTATAGTTCTTTGGGGGGATATTAACAGTATGATTTATCCTTATATTGTTGTGAATTTTTACTAAATGCTGCGAATTCGATAGTTAATAAACGGATATTTGTGATATTTTAAAAACTACAAACATACCTTCTGTGTACGCCGAGCGTCATTAAATGTAGTTCAGTGTTTAACACATTAAACGCCATAGGGGTCACCGGTGACCGACATTACCGGAGGATGTGTCTTCATCAGTTTTCTATTGGCAATCAAAGCCTTAACAATTACGTCATCGTTCTAAAAAAATGTATGTCATACGTGTAATTTACTGAATAAGGAACTTAAACAATTTTACATACTTTTCGTACATGAATTTAATCCCATGTATCAATCTAGAGACCATCGAGGAACCGAAGACTGATTGGATAGCGAAGGCCCTCAGCAATCTAATTTAGGAACTCAAATGACACAGTCATTCATTAGCAACTATCCCCACGTGGCACCAGAATGAATCAATCAGACCTCTATCGCGTGCCACAAAATGGCAGCAAAAGTCAAAAAACAACCGGACACGTTGTCATTACTTTTAATAATTAATAAAATGTCAAATTGGACATATTGGTTGACCCATTGGTCCCTAATTTTACGGTTGTAGGACATAAAATAGGCCCATGTGACCATATTGTCCATAATTAGTTATCAATTTCCAATATGGCTAATAATTTTGCCGTGTACTCATTTCCTATGTTTTGTTTGGACATTATTGTTT